CCCGCTACATTCCATGTCCATATCTGCAATATTTTTTTAAAAACCCGCAGAAATTGGCAAATTCACGCTAAAAATTGAACTTTGATGTTTTAAAGGTAGCCGTTTTGGTAAATATTATTTTATTTTACTTTTCGTACTCCAAGTCATAACCAGGTTCGTACAAAATTAAAAAAGTATTTGAATCATTTATTTCGTATAACCAACAAGAGCGCAATCAATGCCGTGGCAGTTGTTTTGAAACACGAGTGGCTGGAAGGTTTCCAGTCGGTGGAACATTTCATATTATTAATTGAAATTTCGTTCATCGCTAATTGGAGAACGAATGAATATTTCCACAAAATTTATATTATTTAAAAAATATTCAGAATACTTGTTCCTGATATTTTTACAAATAACCACATTAATCGTTTCACCTTAGTAATAATGATTACATATAATAATATAATTCTGCTCAATAGTAAAAGCAAAATATGGTAAAGTAATGATGCAGAAACTGCCGACAGGAAAATTTATAGAAACCAGAACGAACATTTGTGGTTTTGCTAGTTAACGCAGCGTTAAATTTACACACGCTCTATCTTAAAATACATGTACATATACATATACATATTTCAGACTATGGGGTATATTGTTTGGCATAACATAAGAGGTGAACATATTAGTAATCGATGAGAATGAAACGAGCGTTATGTGCTTTGAAACTATGTAATTGTACGACAAATCGAGTTATAATTATGTATTATTGTGTATTATGTACATGTATATTATTATATATGCGCACAGACTAACTAACTAACCTAGCTAGTATCACTAGCAACGTAGGACAAAGAAAATTTCATTGCAACATTTCAATGAAAGTAATCACATCAAATTATGTACAGACAGTGTGTGATTTCATATTAAACAATTCTGAGAAACTCGGCTAGAAATTAATATTCAATCAGCGAAAAATAGAGTGGAGAATTTCACATTTGAGGCTAGTGTTATATTTCAAATTATCCAAAATGCAGCAGAAACTCCGTTCATTTGAAATATGTCAGCTACGTTAAGGACGCAGAAAAAGTTAAATTTGAAGGATTTTATAGGAATAGATACGCGTAAAACAATTGAAAAGTACATACTACCTTGTCAAATATTCTACCATTTTAAGTACTCAAAATTATATGCCCCTTGGCCAACATTTTTCGAGGTAGGTACGTATGAAACTTTTACGGTACTATTTTCTCAGCTTTTAAATGACTATTAAGTTACCCTTGAAATATAATCTTAAATAACATCAATATAAAGTTGGTATTACTTTTCTTTAATAAAACGCTATGTAAACATTATAAAAACCTGATCGAAATAATGATCATGTGTATTATTACATCTTTTTAACTCCAGTTACATGAAATATCTTTGAATGAATTGATTTCAGAGCAAATGTACCACTGTACTTATTTCCTCTGAATTCATCATTCTACAGAATTCGAATAAAGGAATCGCTCCGTTAAAAAAAAATTAACCTCGAAAATTCCATCCCACATTGCATTGAAACCACTGACAGCACATCGCATACACTTTCAAACAGTCGAATCATGCAACTACAATTTGGCTCTACTATTTTGTTTCGAGAGTTACTAATAATAATCTAAATAACTTCCGAAAGAAGGTGAATTGGAGAAATTAAAATACTGAAACTGAAATAAAAAACTAATATTTTAAATTGTACACACATGGTAATTCCATGCACACAAAATAAAGGTCTGATCATAGCTTCGTCGGAAGTAGATACTTCATCAACAACCTACACATATTGGACGCAAATATGCATTGGAGTATCTTGTAACAGAAATTGGAACACTCTGAAAGTAATCTATTATGTCCTACTCCCCTGAACAGCTCGGAAAACAATTACCGTCTTCTTTTTGGAGCAAGACCCTCCTAAACTACGAAAAATCATTGGAAACCGATCGAGGTTTCCTATACCATCTCCTCATAAAACAAAGCGAATGGCTCGCGACGAAACGAAAACAGCTCGCAACAGGAAAACGGAAGCATACTTGGAATGCCTGGCTAGGATATACGATGATAATAGATAGTTGTGACATATACATACTGACCGCGAGTACCTACACGTAAAACAAACTTCGGTTTTCCTGGAGATAACTCTGCTCTCTGCAGCAGTCAACCACGTGTGCTTCTACGAAAGTGCAAAACCGAAGTGGACATCATCGAGTCATGCTTCAAAAACACGCGTTTCCAATAGTGTCTCTCAGGGTCAACCGTAGTATCGTGCAATTAGCAATTATCACGTGTGCGTTCGATTAAACACCGTTGAAGAATTGTAAAGGCTGATTTATTTAAAAAAAAGCTGCGTTCTTCAACGCACGGATATAAATAGAACCACAGGAATAATCATCAAAACGATAAAATATTCTTTCAAGTATGTTTTCATTTTTCTTTTACACTCGAGTGTGTCTCAAGGTTCCACGATGGAATCGAAGTCAACACGTCGTTTTACAAAATACGTAAACAGAAAGAATCACTTCCTGTTTACAATAATGTCATTTCCTTTCGGTGTCAACGCAACGTGACCCACAATGTTCCGAAAAAAAAAATGTCAGTTGAAACCACAAGAGAGCGCGAAGAAGTGCATTGCACCTGGCTTGCAAAAGTAAACAAAGGATGCGAGAACGCGATCGGGAGATATATCTGTGTGTCGATTGCTTACGTACCTTTCGAAGAAACGAAAACAAGGAAAAATGACGGTGAAGAAACTGCTCCTCGCCGATAGGATTCTGCGTGAGGAAGACCGGATCGACTTTCACGATCAACGCGAAATTCCTTCCTCCTCGGTTACTCGGTATTTTCTCCCGCGTCGCCGGCGCCACAAGTCGTTCATGCACGATGCGTGTACGGGACCGTTTTCGCGGCAGTTCGAATTTCGAAATTCGAGACCCGCCAATTTTGTCGCGGCACGGGGGCGAGATTGTGTACGAAATGATCAAACGAGAAAGCATCGACGCCTAACGCGGCGCGACGAAACGCTTCCACAGCGGGCTGCCGGATGACTGACGAGCCGTATCGCGCCTATTGGCCAGCACTGAAACTGCGACACCTGGCGCCCCGAACTTCGAAACACACTCCTAATTCCGGACGTGCTTCCCGCGAGAACACCTGTCGTTTTATACACCGGAAACTTTACAATTTTGGTAGAACTCATTAAATCACGACGTTTTTACGCCCGAGTTTCCTTGCGATTTCATTGCTGTTGAAATGTTCTAATATCGGAGTGTACGCGAACTAGAAACGTCAAACACACCTGGCCTGGGTGTACGTTATGAGACGCTTCACGAATTCTTTACAGAATATATAAGAACTTTCGGAAAACTTGTACATAATGACGATTGTCTAGTTTTAGATAATCATGTTATAGTGTACTTTTTTCTGTTTTAACTGCGCATAAATGTAGAACGTAACGCATGTGTTCTACGGTTGCCGTTATATTTGGACCGAAATGGGTGTCATTCATAATTGATGCTTTAAGGTACAGTTTAAATGATGTCGAACACAATTTGAAAATTCGGTAGATGCGTTTGAATAACTTGACAGCCTTTGTTATAAAACGTTTATGATGTTCATACTACATTTTATAGACCGAGATACACCAAAGAACGATGACATAAGTTTGCACTTTGCTTCACGACGAAATGCGTTACATACTCTTATGTAACTGGCAACATGAGCACTGGACTCCAGCGTGAGAATTGAGTTAAGAGAACTGCCTTGTGATTTGCCCACATTGTTAAAAATTTCACGCATAACGATAAAATTATACAGAGCTTCTGTCTAAAAATGTCGGAAGTTGATGAGCAAATATATGAGTTCGGACATACATTATATTAGAATTAAATAAACTGAGCTATATGCAGAGTTAGGAACATTTTCTATATTAGTATTAAGTTTCTACTTTAATGGGTTTTCGAATTGGATAACTTATCTCTTCTACAGAATGATTTTTTAACGATGAACTGGTTATGTCATCAATCATGTTGTTCTTATATTTATTAGACTAGGTTTCCTGAAAGTGAGTAATCCATATCTACATCATCGAAATTAATTAATGATTTTTGAGATCTTATCAATATATCGTTAACAGAACTATTTGACCACTGAGAATGTTTAAAAAAATTTTAAATATTTAAATATAATATGATATATCATTTTCTTATATCGGCTAGATACACAAAAATATGAAATTTTAGTCGACGTAATAAAATAAAAGTCCTAAAATGATATTTTCAATGTAATTTTTTAAAAAAGTGCCAACTTCTCTTTAGATTCTTATGCTGTGAATCATTTATTATAAATGGTTCGGAAGAACAACATCTGTTAATATGAAAATACCTAGATAGCACATAACGCCTTGAAGACGGCTTAAAGACGCCTTAGACGTAAAATAGCCGTAAAATAGACGTCTTTAAGGCGTCATGTGCTATCTGGGAATAAATATACATTTAAACTTCATACTTAATTATTTTTATTAATGCATACTTGTACCTCAAATTTTAACGCAAGTATCATTATATTAGAATTTATAAGATAAATACACAATACCTGCATAAGTACATAGAAGAAATCAGTTCGTAAATTGTAATATCAGTGATGTATGTAATTCGTATTATAACTTACACATTGATCGCATTTAATTCTTTAGTTCTTATGCATCGCATTAAACTGATTATTCTGAATTATTGTAAATTATTGATGCTCATAAATATTAAATAACACAATGATGTGCGGAAACACATAAGTATGTATCAGATTAATATTTAAAGGATGTATTAATGTGCATAACAGACCGCAGATGTCGACACCAGCGTATGTTTTCTTTAACGATACCAACGAGAAACAGTAAATGACGTTCGGGTATCGAATAAGAAAAAAAAGCTGATGCAGTGGTTTTGAACATTGTCAGAATATTGTTACTAATTATTACTAGCATTTGTGCGATCATCGGTTTTCGTTGTGGAACTTTGTTATCTTTTTTTCTTTTGACAATATCAAACGACGGATACATGTCTGTACATACATGTCGTTATACCGCAACGAAGCAGCGAACCGATAACGTGAAGTCGGTAAGCGTCGTTTTCGTTTCATTCGCACAGCTGATATCTGTAGTGAAATGATGTTTGGGCAGACTAATGTGTCGAGAATCTTTCCACATCTCTAACACGAGTTACACTAGGCCGCATTATCTTGACTTTATTAAGGATTTCGTAAAACAGCAAAAATGGAGTTGGCGGGACAGGCTCAGGTGCAAAATTCATCCAACACTAATGATGGCTCTGAAAACAAGGGAAGGTGAGATGTCTGTTAGATAAAAATTGTTTTTATTTCAACTTGTTTAATTTTGTTTTAGTTGCTTGTTACTACGATATGCTAGTCAGAATTCTTTGGACGAGAGTTCCCAGAAACATATACCACGGGAAAGTGGAAAAGATAAACCACCTTACAGGAATCATCACCACACAAATAGGGCTTTTGACGTTATCAATGAAATGAGAAAGTATGTACTACAGTATATTTTCTTTCTTTTACACTACAATGAAAAGTTATAAATATCTGTATCATATATGTTCAAAGTAGAGAGAATTATCTCAGAGTCTCTTTTTGGACAATATAGTTTATTTAGATCTATATTTTACATTCAGAATGGAAGGATAATTAAATTAATCATTTGTTAGGAAAAATTTATTATGCGATGTAATATTGGTGGCTGATGGAGGAATGGAAGTACCTGCACATAAAATGGTTCTTGCTGCCTGTAGTCCTTATTTTTATGCTATGTTTACAAGTTTTGAGGAACGAGATCAAGAAAGAATAACATTGCAAGGCGTAGACTACTCTGCGCTAGAATTATTGGTAGATTATGTATACTCTGCAGAGGTACACGTAACTGAAGATAATGTACAAGTGCTGTTGCCAGCTGCAAATCTTTTACAATTAACTGATGTCCGTGATGCATGTTGTGACTTTTTACAAGCTCAGTTACATCCATCAAATTGTTTAGGAATTCGTGCATTTGCTGATCTTCATGGGTGTTTAGAATTATTATCACATGCAGACACTTACATCGAACAACACTTTTCGTAAGCAAATGAAATGATACTTATTGATATTATTTGTTATTGATGTATTCTTTGTTATCAGTAAACGTTTTATTACACACATAGGGAAGTAGTAGATGGTGATGAATTTTTAACATTAACACCACAGCAAGTTGCTAAATTAATCTGTAGTGACCGTTTAATGGTACCTTCAGAAGAAAAAGTATTTGAATGTGTGATATCTTGGGTACACCATGATTTAGAAAAAAGACAAACACATTTAGCTCAATTAATGGAACATGTACGGTTACCCTTGCTGTCACAGGAGTACTTAGTTCAACGTGTGGAGGAAGAACCACTTCTGAAAGCAAATTTACAATGTAAATAATAAAATGTATACCTTTAAATGTCACATATATGTTATAATTGGACTGTGAATGTTTATGCATTTATGGTATTCCTTAATTTGCACAACAGTCTAGTTATGATTTAACATGAGGGTATTAAGAATTACATTTTTCTTCTTATGTTCAGGCAAGGATTTCTTGATTGAAGCTCTGAAATATCATTTACTTAAAGGAGAGCAAAAATCGTTATTTAAAACACCTCGTACAAAACCTAGACAGCCCAGGGGGTTACCTAAAGTGTTGTTAGTGGTTGGTGGACAAGCTCCCAAAGCAATTAGGAGTGTTGAATGTTATGATTTTAAGGAAGAAAAATGGTATCAAGTATCGGAGTTACCTACACGTCGTTGTAGAGCAGGTAAATAACGCAGTTTGAATTCAATTACGAAAATATTTGACAACTTGTTACTGAGTCTAAAGCGATTTATAATGTATAGGTTTATCCGTTCTTGGTGGCCGTGTGTATGCTGTTGGTGGATTTAATGGATCTCTGAGAGTACGAACAGTTGATATTTATGATGCTGCTACAGATCAATGGTCACCTTGTCCAGAAATGGAGGCTAGAAGATCAACGCTTGGTGTGGCGGTTCTTGGAAATTACATTTATGCTGTACATATGTTATTTTTGTTGCACATACACAAACTTGCATTACAAATATTATAATATTTAATTTTTTGCTACATAAATATATGTATTATTGTAAACAGTTATTTCTTTTCAAATATGGGTATAATAGGTTGGTGGATTTGATGGTTCGACTGGTTTAAATTCCGCCGAAGTGTATGATCCAAGAACTCATGAATGGAGGCTGATTGCACCAATGTCAACACGTAGAAGTAGTGTTGGTGTGGGTGTTGTTAAAGGATTACTGTATGCTGTAAGCATAATAATATAATTTCTGAAAATTAAAAGTACGTACTTGATACTGTTTTAGACTTCTGGTTGATCGTCGATTCATTTTATATTTCGATATGTAGTTGTAGAGTATCGATCGTGTTATTATGTGTAACTTTAAAACCTGCTCGAACGTTTAAACAGTGTTAATCGTACATGAACGTTGATGGTAAATATTTAAAGATTTTTATTGAGGAAATGAAAATCGAAACTTTAAGTTGCTATATTGTTTCAGGTTGGTGGTTATGACGGAGCGTCTCGGCAATGTCTTTCCAGTGTTGAATGCTACAATCCAGAAAAAGACCAATGGAAACCGACACCTGATATGTCTGCTCGCCGTAGTGGGGCTGGTGTTGGTGTTCTAGATGGAATTCTGTATGCTGTAGGAGGTCATGATGGTCCTTTGGTCAGGAAAAGTGTGGAAGCTTTCAACCCAGACACTAATCAGTGGACTCCAGTCAGTGATATGGCCTTTTGCCGTAGAAATGCTGGTAACAATATTTATGTATTTTTGCAATTCAACTTCATTTATTGCGAACAATGCAGAATATTTAAAATATTAATGAAAAAACAATTCTTTCTTTTATCAGGTGTTGTCGCAATAAATGGACTCCTGTACGTGGTGGGAGGCGATGATGGCGTATCGAGCCTGGCATCTGTAGAAGTGTATTCACCGAGAACTGACAGCTGGACTACACTTCCAACATGTATGGGAATTGGTCGCAGCTATGCAGGGGTTGCAATAATTGACAAACCAATGCCGTCTACGACATCGATGTGAGGATTGCAATCCGCTGGGCATGGAACGGAACAGAATGTGGACCCGGGTGCCGAAACGTCGGAGCAATCACGGGAAGCCGGGCCCAGCGGTGTACAAGTTCAAAATCCAGATCCGAATGTCCTTCAGCAGTACCGCGGTGCTGGTCACAACTGTCAAGGTTCACGTTGTGTGTGTCAGAGATATGAGAACGGCGAATTAGCAGCTGTAGTCATGAATCAGAACAGAAGTAACCAAGAGAGGGATGACAGTTATCAGAATGTTGGCCGTAATTTGCGGGGTTTCCAAAATCGACCTGGTGGCTCGATACAGGGGTATCCAAATCTGAATCCAAATTATCAGAATCCTGTTGATTTGGTTCATAATTATAACCGTAATCGACAACCACACGAATCGGGAGAAAATATTTACGAGCGTTTGGACAATGACGACGACGATGATAATGATGAAAATAATGGGGAAGGAGGTCGCAATGAATCAATGGCCCAAAATAATCAGAATAATATTGACGATCATACATATGAGAGAATCGACGATCGATATTCTTGTAGTGGCAGACTATATTCTCGTTGTTACAAATATCACATATTAAATGCCATTCCGAATTTCCTATACGACATGGAGTCCAGGAACACAAACCAATACGATCAACCCAGACAAATTTATTTAGACTCGTCAAGGTTATCCAGCCAGTTTTGCCAAAGTCGATTGGGTAGATTGGGTCGCAACTGTTTTTCTACCGAGAATATTGCTCATGCATCCACTGGACGCACGATTTACCCACTCGGCAATAACTGCATGTGCTCCTTTTGTAGACACTTAGACCCAAGATATTTGTGTCATCATTGCCATAATCTGCATAACAGATTGCGCTATCAAGATGGATTACCAGGTAATTCTAGACATGTTATATATCAGTTGCCAAGAAACTGTAGGTGCCCATTTTGCCGTGGTGAATATTCTTACGTGAAATTACCCGTTACGTCCTGCCGACCTCCTGAATTATGGCGAGTGGAATGCCATTGCAGAAACCCCAACAGTTGTTCTTGTAGATCTAAAGTTCTGTCCAACAGTAACTCTACCACTCAGGTCGGTCGGTACCTTGATTGGATAAACAGAGCTGGTCCTTCAGTCAATAATCCTCTTTATGCGACCATACATATTGGTAGACCCTGTGTTTCTGCCGTCGGAAATGTAGCTAATGGAAGTAACGGAGAGCCCGGTGCTTCAACGTCCGGCGCATCAAGTTCTACAGCTACAGCCAACGAACCCAGTACATCCTCGAACGTTAGACCAATATTTTCTTCATACAGTACTTCCACGTCACGCGCTTCTGTGTGTTCCGCTAATCGCTCTACAGAACGTCAACATACTTGCGACGATTCTTGCATCAGAAATCAAAGTGGAAGCATAGCTGGAATCTGTCAGTTTTATGGCAGATGCGAACGAGCGGAATGTAATCACGGTAGATTGTTCGTGCATTGGTGGTTCGTGAACAAATGGCTGTCGCCTTGGAATTCTCACATTCCCGACAGGAACGCGGACGCCATTCCCGCGATGGAGGAAGAGTCCCATAACCAGCACGACAGCGACAGCGATGATGTTTAAATCCGACGGTTAATATGTAACTCTTGGATCTAGTGATTTATTGGCATTATCGGATATTATTCTATCGTAATTGTTCAGGCGTCAATATTCCTGAATCACGACTGCTACAGTAATAAGATAGGACTGAATATTCGTGTACCCTTATTTTTATCGAGAGTATGGTAACAAAGTTGTTGTAATTTGTGATACTTGACAAAATAATATATATCTCCCCAAATGAGATAGAAATAGGAAGCTAGTATCGATAGTAACGCATCGGACTTTTCTTTTTGTAATCGTAAACACATGATTTGTTAAAAAGTAACTTGAAAGCCACTAAGACGATAATTTTTGTTATGTTATTTGAGATCGGTATCTTTGTTTGGGAATTCTTACAAATGTTTACGACGAATTCATGCATGTATTGACAATAAGACCACTTTATATGTGCTTTGATATTCTGAGATATTTATATTTAAAGTTTTAATAAATATAAATTTCGGTTATATATTTATAGGTACGTAAAATATGGATTAAGTATATTATATAATCAAAGATTATTTCTACTAATGTATTGTTAAATATTCATAGAAACTATTTGAATTTGATTGATTTTGTAATTATTTACTTATACTTATTACTAATTACTATATTATTTTAATATACAATGGGAAGAAACTCGCCAACTTCATCGTGTTAAACCTCTGTATAGAGATGTACGTGTATGATAGAATAATATTAGAAAAATATGTGTTTTATTGTATAATTATATAAAATGTATAGAAATTGTAACTTTTATAATTCACCATCGATTCGTTTGACTCAGCATCGTTTTGGGTGAAGAACGGGAAGGGAGGGGAAGGTACGAGAGAACGCTTTTAGCGTATTTTTATAAGTTTAATAATAAAGATATCTCAATAAGCCAAAACAGAAATACCTTCTTTTTTAAAAGTTAGTTATACGGTAACTGTTACAAATGTTGTTCATTTTAAACAGTATTTCAAATTTGTTGATCGTTCATCGAACTGCGATGACACAAGACAGGTACAAGAAGTTTCCATTTAAACTTGATCATTGTTGTGAATACAAATCTGTAGCAATTACAAACAGAATACTGGTTACGAACAATAACGTTAAATATTATAGCCGAATAAAGATCAACAAGTGGTTGCTCAAGGCGACCGAGGTGTTGTCCCCACAAAATTATCATTTCTTATAATCTTGACGCACACTTCTAACGAACTGACAAGTATGTAGTGATAAATTTTGTGTCTTTAGTGTAAATAGTGCAAGTAAATACTGTAATTCGTAGTGGGAAAAGTGATCTCGAGTGACCAGTTGGATACGATTCGTCTATAATTCTTACGCTCCTTTCATATGTGCAATTTGCGATGGATTAAACAAAATAGAATATTGACTCGCAATATTTGAATGCTGTGCATGTATACTATTAGTCAGTATTACGTTGTCCTTACAAAGTTCCAATTCTTAAACTAAAAATGAAATTATTTAAACAAATTAAAAGATTAAATTTAATGCGAAATAAAAATAGTGACAACCCTGTTGGTATGAAATATTAATTTTGAACTTATAAGGACAGATCTAAACATATCCTTAGATACGTAATGATTTAAGAATTAATTTGTATATGTAAGTAATTCGTGACGAAACAAAATGATTTTTAGCCTAATATACTAAATTCTAAAATTCTAAAATACGATGTAATAAACTTTCATGGATTTGTTAAATGTAAATTTATTTTTTGTATTTAATAATTCATACTATACAATATACCACGACGAACATTTAATTGAATAAAAAAAATTCTATTACGGAGAACCGTACACAGAGACTTATTCTTCAGCCAAATGCTTTATACGTTAAAACGTCATTTAAGAAGCTGTTTTTTGGTTTTATTCAAATAGTAACCATTTAATATCTTGCAATAACAAAAGTGTTCGGATAATATGTTTAATAAACGTGTTAATAAATTTGCAAATACTATATGCTGTATGAATTTTTATAAACACAAAGATTTGTAAAGGTAATTTATTCATTGGTTCTATTTTTAAACGATATTGATTTTACATGAATTTTTATCACAATATTATTATGAAACTTCAAATTTGTGAAATTATTTTGTCAAACAATTTCTCCACGGTTTGAAACTACACCTTGAGAGAAGCATTTAAAAATTTAAAAATATTTTTATTCAATGTCTGTCTAATTGTGTTCGATATTGTCAAAATATAGATGTCATTTGAAATAATACCCATATTGTATATTTTATAATACCATTGAATACATATTTTCCACTCTTCGGTACATTTCGTTCTTTCTTTTCACTAAATTAGTAGATTAAGATGCACTTAAAATAGCCTGTCAAATACATATATGTAACCTATTTGAAATTTGTTATCGTTAATTCTATTAAAATTCTTTGCCTTCATTTCATACCACACAAATTATATTTATTATTGATAATATATTTATTATAAAAATAATATTATAATGAATTATTATTTTCTACTATAATAAATTTGTAGTGTATCTATATTACTAAATACGTATATTGCATCTATTACATTCTAAACAACCATTCCGTTTTGTTCTCGAATAATAATGCATTAACTAACGTCCGAGTTGGTTAATGGCGGTATTTATCTCAGTTTCAGACTACAATACAATTAACGTACCACAGAACGCTTTTGCAAGAGTAAATACCTTTACTATTGATACACATATATTGACTTTGAGAAAAGTTGGTCACTCCCCCATGAACGAAGGCCAACAGCTATCACTTTGGTGGTATAATAGCCCTAATATCAGTGTACCGCTCCGGTGTGCATTATCGTGTCGCTAAATCTTTTTCTTATATTTCAGCAATATTATTCACTGTATTATGATTAGTTATGGTTAGACTCCGGATCTTTATGCAAATGCATATTTTTATAGAAAACGGATAGAGCAATAGGGTCTGAGCGGAAATATGTTTTATGATTAGAGAATTCTGAAAATATCTTTTTTATTTTGCATAATGCATATGTTTTTATGTTTTATATTTAAAAACATATGCAATAACTTATTGCATATGTTATTTGTCCTGTATATATCTTCCGAGTTATAGACAAACATCAAAATATACTTGCATAGGCTTCAGTTGTTCGTTGAGCATTAGATATGGCAGTACTTGTATCTACTAGAGTGTTTTTAATAACGCCGAAAACTCGGAGTAGTAAAATATCACTAATGAAACATTGGATCGAAGGCGATTGCAATTTTGTCATCGATCAGAGTAATGAAAGAAGTGTGTATTGTAAAACTTATATTAAAACAACAAAATGCGAAAGAAAATCGCAATTATTGCAACATAAATACTGCTACACACAAAAGATACGTTTAAAGGGATACCTACTCCTGAGCAGCTACAAA